ATCTCGAGAAGTGCCTTCGCTTCGGCAGGGATGCGGCATGAAAACACTTTGTAGGGTCTTCCCGAGAACTCAGTCATTGACGTACTTAAAGAGGATAGGTGACAGGACAAAGCCTTGCCGAACGCCTGACCGAATAGCGAAAGGCCCTGAGAGGTTGTTGTGGACTAAGACCCGCGCAGTGTTGGAGCGGTAGTATGCCTTGATCATGGCGATTAGTTTTGGTGATACACCATCAAATGCCATTATCTGCCATAGGGAGTCACGATGGACGGAATCGAACGCAGCGGCAAAGTCAACAAAGCAGATGGCCGTTGGTTGTTGGTAGCTATAGCAGAATTCAAGGACCCGTCTCCGTGCGAATATCTGATTCACACATCCACGCCCAACACGAAATCCGGCCTGGTTGGGTCGCGTCCTGGCGTCGCGCACAGACTGGAACCGCCTGAAGAGAATAATAGCTAAAATCTTTGCAGCCATGTCTATGATGCTTATGCCGCGGTAGTTCTCACATTTTTTCTTGTCTCCCTTCTTGTGGACAGGCACAAGGATGCCTAAGCCCCAGTCATCAGGAACGGTTTCGTCTCTCCATGCTTGTCCAATCACCTCATTGAGCCAAGGCGCCAAAGTGTCGGCACTAGACTTGTAGATTTCAGCTGTCTGTGGAGTCACCCGGCCCAGTTTGGCCATTCCGATCCCGGCGAGGGAGCCTTTTAACTAATGTTTATAGCCGTGAGTAAAATATATCCTTATCGCGCAGATTAGCAGCAGACGTTAGTGCATATACCTCGGCCACAGATATGTTTGTTAAGTGGCCCTTCAAGCACACCTAAGGCATGCGTTCATTGACTGGTTCGTAGGCAAGTAGTGCACGGCTCGCTTGTTGAGAGAGGGCAGTTGCCACCTCATGTCTGATGGAGGAGTCATGGGGACCACTGTAGTATAGGTTGAAGTGGGAGTCAGCTCCAGGAACTTTTCCTGGGCGCCTGGGCTAGAGAGTCGAACTTCGGACAGGCAGCAGACATCTACGTTGTACTGATTAAGGCTGCGCACCGTCAGGCTTTGGATATCAGGGGCCAGTAACGTTCGCACATTCCAGCATCCAATACCAAGAGTCCGATTTCGATTGAGTAGTCCAGCTCGTATACTATTCGCCCGCACCACTGGACAAGGGTTGCGGAGCGTGTCGGTTCCCGCGAACGCTGTAGTATGGATCGTATTGCAGTTATCCGAGATGAAATTCATTGAGGTGGCTTGGGAATTTTGGGTACGAGCGGGTTTGTTTGTTTGTTTGTGATTGTCTC